AAAAAGATAAAAGTAGTGTTTTATTTGGTTTCTTCTTCTTTATGTAGATGTTTTATATTAAGTGAGCTTTACTGTTTACAAGCTTTTCTTTTGTATTCTATCTCATGCTGCTGCCTTCCCATAGCCAATAGCATGTCCTGGTGTTGCAAAGCCCAAAAATCAAAGTTTTACTGACTTTAAGGAGAGAGGAATGTCTTGCAGGTATATGTCCATGCTCTTGTAAAAGAAATGAACACTAAGTTTTAATGGTATTGAAAGAAAACATTATCTTAATATTAACTAAATATTTTGGTGGAGCTGCGAAGCGACTTCCTCTGCCACTTTTGAATCTGTGTTATTTTAGTGCTTAGGAGAACTCAGTCAGCATCAGTGGAATAGACCACTTCTAGGATATTTCAGTGTTTGGTGTATGAAATGCAGTATGATGCATGCAAAAAGTATTAAATGATTTCCTCAGGACAGTCAGCCAGTCCTATTGCCACACTGCGGTTTCTGATTCTAGCACAGGTGGCAGATCCCTCAGAGACCTTTGTTTCCAGCAGTGGAGCCCAGTGTCTTCTCTTTACGACAGGCTGTAGAATTGGTTTGGAATCCAAAGGGAGGAACTGATCCAGTATCTTGCGGTAATCATGGCAAACCTGTTTGCAAATGCTTAGTCTAATTCTCGACCTGAAAGATGTCCTTTTATGTCTGCTGTTGCCATATTTGCTTTTATTTCTTCAGTAAAATTCTTCACAAGGACATAAGCATAGCACTGCTGAAATGCCTAATAAGAAGTAAATTTATTTTATGGAAACTTTTAAAATTCTTATATTGCTTTATAAGATATTCTCATAAAAAATACACTTTGCTTGACTGTTGTGACAGGAAATCATTAAATAAAACTGTCTATTTGGTAGAAATGAAGCATTAGGTATCAAGTAAAATGACCTCAGTCAGCACTTAACTGCTGGCTTCCAACTAAATCCATGTTTTTATGGGCCTGTAAGTTACTCATATGAACTAAGTACAGCTTATTATTTGAATACTGTTATTTTATATTCAATAATAACTTAAACAGGCCAAAAGTAATTTTTTAACCATCAATAAAAAGTGAATTTGCTAAGGAAATTACAGTGTCATCGTAAA